ATATATATATATATATATATATATATAATATATATATATAAATATAATAAAAAAATTGATGTGGGTACTCAAATGAAAGGTCTTGCTAAGTACAATATCAGGATGAGCTTATATCTTTAAAAATGTCAATAGTTCACAAGATACAAGGTAATTTCTTAATTATATATCTAAAGATAGCACATTTTGGAATGCAGCCTAAATACTTAAAAAAACCCCTATATAAATAATAAAACAAACATTTTATCTAACTCACCCCAATGCCAGTAACCCATCCAGTTCCCGCAGGATTATCATTAGTAACTCCAATCCTCCGACAAACAATCCCAGCTCCTGAAACAGCCCAGACTTGTCCCGACTCTCTACAAACAGATACATGCCGAAAGCCCTGTTTAGCAGTGACAACACTTAGATCAATATGAATTGGATCATTGGGCATAGCAGGCAACGTCTGCCAGTGAGTTCCTTCCGGAAAAACCTTAGGTTGAATTTCTCTACGCACTGAAAGCCTTCCTGAAGTATCCAAAGCCCAAACGACATTTTTCCCCACAGAAATCTGCTTCAACTGAGCCCCAGACGGTGGTTCCACATTAGTCCACACCTCCCCAATAGGTTTAGAATTCGTGATCCCAAATCTCCAATACGAAGATCCATTTTTCCCCACAGCCCATACTTGACCGATCGGCCCGCATGAAATTCCAATCAAAGCCTGATCACTGGGAATGTGCTCCCAAGAGACTCCCATAGGACAGGACTCAGAAACTCCTCTCCGATAAAGAGCCTCACCATTAGCAGCAACTGCCCAGACCTCAACAGGAGCATCCGGCCCATTATCCACCGAGTACAACGAAACATCTATTATCTTAGTGTTCCCAAGCTCCTTCCAAGGTCCACTGGTGGTCAACAGACACCTTCTGAACCACCTTCGTCGCCTAACATAGTCAGTAAAATTTTTTTTTCCATGGTACTGCGACGGGAAGTCTGTAGCGTACTGCCAGCCGTCACGATCTACTCCTCCAGGTGTGTGGAAGTCTATTATCCAGTCGGACACCCATCTCCAGTGCATCGACAGTACTTTAGTATGTTCTCTAGTCCTTTTGTGACGACCTGTAACATCGCTCCACATGTACCGGTCAGTTGGCAAGCCGTGAGAAGTGTACCCAGTCACTGGGTTCCACCGTTGGTTTTCATACACATAATAATTATGAGTATCACTCATTGAATTTATGTCCGCGTTGCTAGTACCCAGTCCTTTGAGGAAGCTTCCACCCCAACCACCAGTATAAACCCAAGCTGTGTTGTCATAGCCAATTCCCCAGGTAATTCCAGCACTGCAAGTCTCGACTTTCTTCAAATGTCCGCCCATTTGTCTCCAGAACATCGTCGTAGGCTCTATTATCACCCAGGGTGATTTATACAGCACCGAGTGGAGCGTAATAAGTCCTTTTATTCTTAAGTGAGTGATATTCTCCGGTGGAATTCGGTGGCAAAAAAAAGTAAACTCCTTGTCGTCGATAAACATACGGTATCCTCTGGGCTCGCAAATTATTTTTAATGAAAAATCAGTCCCTGGTTTTAAAGGACTGCCTCCTGCTCTTTCTTCATCATCCCACTGGCCGTTTTGGTACGTGTTTCTTATTATTAAATTTTCTTTTAATCTTGGGTTAAAGTGAAACGCTATATCATGAGAATCATTTGAAGGTTTGTGCTTCATTGCTGTTGTCATATGGCAGACTAAATTAAAAGCTAGTCTATCAGCATCGTCATGAACACAAACGGAAATGTGCAATGAATGACCGGGACTGAATCCGTTGTGTAGGATGCTTTCAAATGGCAACTCTTTGCCGGAGACATCTAGCTCTTGAGTGTAGGTTTCATCAACCAGTTGATTCGCTTCGGCGATTACGGGGTCGTAGACGAAAACATCGCCCAGAGCTGTGGTGGACCAGATTGATTTGGGACCCGGTCGCCCGTAAACATTGTTGGTTTTACATGTCACTGATGTTATGTGTCCCATCCAGTCTTCTAGCTCGGTGTCACTTGAAAATTTGAGTCTTAATACTTTTGATTTGGGCAGTCGAGGCGTGTGAATGGCTAAGCGGGGGCAAGAGGGCTCGCTGCAACAGACTACGCATACTATTTCGGTTACTGGAAATTGCATCACTGTCGTTGCCCCGTCGGCGTTTAATACTGTTAGGGTGCCACAGTCTAAGGAACCACCGTCGCTGCTTATCCACTCTAATTCTATGACACAGTCTTCGTAAGTGTTACTTCCTTTTAATTTACATTTGGCATCTCCGTTTTTTACCCAGGACGATCTTAAATAAGATACATTTTTTATGGTATAAATTTTTTATAATTATCTATAAAATAATTAAATTACCTTTCAATTGCTTTTTCACAAGATGAAATATCAAAATTAATGTCTTTCATTCTGTTTTTTAATTCTTCAAGAATGTGAATCCGCCAGGGTTCAGCTGTTTCTCCATGATTAGAAGCATAATTGTCAGCAATCCTGTTAAATTTACAATAATTATTAAATACTAGCAACCTTGTAGTCACTATGTGACTGCCGTGACTTATAAACTATAAATAAATGAAATTTGGATTTATTAAACAATGTTAAACTTCTTAAGTATTGAAGTTTTTAAAGATATAAGCTCATCCCGATGTTATACTCATCAAGAGCTTTCGTTTGAGTACCCACATGCATTTTTCATATATTTTTCATATATAATATATATAAATATATGAAATATATGAAAAATTGATGTGGGTACTCAAATGAAAGCCCTTGATGAGTATAATGTTAGAGTGAGGTTATATCTTTAAAAATGTCAATAGTTCACAAGATACAAAGCCACATTTCTTAATTACGTATCTAGAGATTCAATACAAAATTTTCTTCATTCTCTTAATAATATAGATAATTTTATATTTTTTTTTAATAAATATATAAAAACTAAATTACCATTTAGGTGGATTAATAGGATCAATAAAACAAGCGCCAGCTTCAACTTTGCACCACAGAACATCGCATTCAGCCCAATAAACAGCAGCAGTACTTTCGTCTTCTCCATAAACTCCAGACTCGCCAGTCCAATCAGGGTCAAAAACACTACCATCTGTTTCAGGATGTGCTTCAACGCCTACCATAGATCCAACAGAGTGTACTGGACTCCAGGCAGCTGGGTTAACTTTTACTGTACTGCTCATTCCTTTTCCCGAAACAACAGTTGATTCTCCGCTGTGCGACAGAGACTCATTAGAAATTGTAATATTGGCAGCGGAATCCATCTCAGAACTAACAGAACTAGCGGACCGATTTTTTTCGTCAGCATTGAACATTTCTTGGAAAGAAGTTTGCTGAGAAATTCCTCCGTTGGAGCCGTTAGCTTCATTTTTTTGCCACAATTTTAAAGACGTAGGAGTTGGTGCGGATCGGGATTGTTCTTCCCAGTCACGAATAAGAGCAGTGCCTTCTCCTGTGCTCTGAGGCCTGTTTAATGAGCTCCAACTTTGATGACGTTGCTGCTGTGGGGTTCCACACATGCTATGGCGATTATTTGAGGACAAGCTGGCGCTACTACTCGCTCTGCTTAATTGCAAAGGAGCATTCAGAGTTCTCCATTTTTTTCCAGTTAATTCTGAGCGGGTTATTCCTGCTCTGTAGTACAGACATCTGTCGTCATATCCTATTGCCCATACCTGAAAAAAATTATTATGTTTAATTATTTTAATAATTTTATGACAAATAAATTTTGGCACAAAAAAATTGTCATGTAGAAATTAAAAAAAAAAAAAAAAAAAAAAAAAAAAAAAAAAAAAAAAAAAAAAAAAAAAATAAAAAAGCAATTTTTTTAAAATACTTTTTTTAGAACAAATTAAATAAAATTAAAAAATTATCAAGTGACTGCTAACTTTAATATCATAATATAATTAAATAGAGATAATAAAAATATTAAGTATTGATTATAAACCTGGTCATTAGAAGAGACTGAAACTAAAGCCATTTTGCTGCCCATTTCAACCCATCCAGTGCCTGTAGCTAATTGTTCGCACATCCCAGCCATATCGCCTTTAATACCTTTTCTAAACCACACACTTCCATCATGTGTAACAGCCCAGACAGCATCACAGCCTACACTGACTTGTGTCAATCGTAGATCCTTTTGCGGTGGCTCTACCAGGCTCCAATCTTCCCCCATAGGATTTTCTCGTGTAACACCAGTTCTCACTAAAGCTTTCCCGTCAGTAAGTACAGCCCAACCTAATCCTGTTACTCCAACACTGACTTGAGACACTTCTTGACCGCTAGACAATTTAATTACACTCCAACGCTGTCCTTCAGGAGACGTTGAACTGACTCCAACGCGAAACATAACTCTTCCATGAGCTGTAACCGCCCAAACTATCAGACTTCCCAGACTACCACCTGGTATTTGGGTGCCGCCGACAGCCACGTCAATAAAGGGTTCTTTTGTAGGGTCTTTGTGGAGTGGTGCTATAGCACACCAGGAATTCATGGCACTGTACCGCCGATATCTCACCCATTTCCGTCTTCTCACGCAAGATTTCCATTGCTTCTTTGTTGAATAGCTCGCTGGAAAATCAACGGCATACGTCCAGCCCTGTAGATAATTATTAAACTCAAATTTAGTTTTTTTTCTAATTTTCCAAAGCAATCACTAATACGAAATACCATTACTAACGTCGTGATCTAAAGGCTGACCGTCTAACGTGGTTTCAATGTGCCAATCTCCTTCCCATTGCCATGCCATTGATGGAAGTTTTACTTTATCTCGAGATCTGTCAACCGATCCATCGGCATTTGAAAAATTGTATCTATCTGTTGGCAACAAACGCCCGCTGAAACCTTCCAGTGGCAGCCATCGCTGGAATTTTTTATTTATTTATTGATACTGAATTTTACAGACAGTTAACTTAACAATTTTTTAGATTTTTACTCCAATTTAATTACAGTGAAATTAATGAAAATTAATTTTGATATTTTATAATTTTTTTAACAAATAAATTATGACAAAAAAAAATTGACACCTAGAAATTTTAAAAAATAAAAAATGCAATTTTTTATAATTAATTTAATTATTAAATAAAATTAAAAATTGGTCAGGTGACAGCTAACTTTAATGTCATAGAAATTTCATTTGTAGAAATTAAAAAAAAAAATTTTAAGTATTTTTTTTTAGAATTGATGTATTAAAAAAATTAAAAAAAATTGACAGCTGTTTGCTAATTTCAATATCATTTAATTAAACATTTGGTAATGATTAATTTTTTTTAATTAATATTTTGTTCATTAAATACGTACCTCATTCTCATAAGTTTCTTCTTTTATTCTAATTGGAATATCTAAGCCATGAACATGCACGTAAACTTGACGATCTCCACCAATCGCCCACATAAAATGTGGAACTGCTGACAGACTTTTAAATTCTAAACCAAGATATGTAAATTCTCGCCACATTTGGCCAGAAGTTGATAATCCAAACACTCGTCCCTCATTATTTATTGCATAAAGATACGTACTTGGCATTTTTGCTCAAAAATAAACTAACAATTGTTATAAAAAATTATTTTATTAATTTTTCATAATTATTTTTAGTGCTAAAAAATTTACCTCGGTTTTCAATTAATTTTTAGAACATTAAGTGGATTGATTAAATTTTTTATAACAAATTATTCTTCAGTATTTCTAACTTTTATATTACTATTAAAATAACTGTCAAAGTCTTGAACAAAACAACCCCATATTATATTAGAATAATAACAATCAATATCAATATGAGTAATAATACATAGTGATAATGATAATAGTTCAGTGGTGTGTGACAATTGTGTAATTGTGTGCAAAAAATTTGTGGTGGCGCTCTGTTTATATTTGCTCCTTGCTCCACTTTTTTACTTTTTCTGCAGTTTTCATCAGTCGATAATAAAGTCTCAAGGTTGTTATTTTCCGTAATGACAACAAAGAATATTTTTTCACCGGCATCCGAATGGTCTAACCTCAAAATTTAAGAATATTAAAACAATTTGGCGATAAAAATTATAAATTTAAAAGTAAATAATGTCAAACTCAACAAACTTTCGTGTAAAATTAAATTTATCAAAGTTTTACCAAGATGCTAGAAAATTGAGTTTCATTTATGTGGATACGTCCGCAATAAATAATGTTCTCCAATTGCACTCAAAAATAGCTACTATTTTTGCTATTACTAAACCGTTTTATCTTAGTTCAGAAAATAATGTTCTTTTTCCACTTATTGAAGATATAAGAATTGTACAAGAAAATGATATTATTAAGTAAGTAATTTTTAAACTATTTGTAACTTTTATTACTGCGTAATTTATTTTATTACTCTAATATAATTTTTTTGTAGGGTTGTTCCCGGATGTCCTGAGTTATCAAATGATTCTTCAACATCAAATGAAACAGTGCCTTCTCCGAAGAAAGTGCAATCATCGAGTAAGGAAAAATATTAATTATCATTATATGTATGTCCAGTAATGATAATTGGTCACAAACCTTATTTGTTACTCTCGCAAGTAATTTGTAAGAGAAAAACTAAAAAAATAATAATTAATATTAGTATCCGTGTTTTTTTATTATTTGTCATAGAATAATTTTTTTGTATGTTTCTTAAGCTTGGATATCTATCTCATAAATAATATTTTGTAATAAAGTTTAATTGTTTTAATAAGAGATACTTATATTTAAGGTCAATTTTCCAAAAGAATTTTTTATAAGTAATTTTTAATATATTTTTAAAAATTAATTTATTTATTAAAATTATAGAATCAGAATCAAGGCGATCTGTAGAGCCAGAATCACGGCAATCAGAAAAATCCGATACTACTGACTTAGATGTATATAATAACCAAACAGAAACAGTTTCTGAAAATGATGTTGATACTGACGGAAATATTCTAAATTTGTCAACCGTAATTATGAAAAAAAGACGTAAAAGAGGCCGACGATCATCTAAAAAAAATAAAATTACTGTTGACCAAGAACCAGCCATGACACCTTATAACGACTTCCAAAAAAATGGATTTAATAGTACAACAAATGACATCAAAGTTATTTCCGAGAAAGCCACGCCAAAACACCTGAAATTTAATTTTGATGATGAAACTGGTCAAGTTACAAATGTAGAAACAAATGGAAACTTAATATCACCTCGTGCAAAACCAACTATTCGTTCTAACGAAGCAGCAACTTTGTCAACTTTATTAAGTTTAAAAAATAATCCTGCTCCCGTTACTTACTCCAGTAAAAGAGTAAGAACAAACTCTGAAATGTCTCATGCATCGCAGCTACCAACTTTATCAGGTTCATCTCAAGTTTCTATGAAGAATAATCTAATTAAAATGGAAAACTCTCCAGTATCTTCATCGCACAATCTACCTAAAAATAAATCCAATGAATTTATTGAAAATAACTTTGATTTTGGTAATATTAACCCATTCAAATATCCTATTTATGAATCAAGTTTTGAAATTAATGATATCATCGCATTTCGTGTGAGTATTTAATAAATTAACTTAAAAATAATTATACTATTTAATATTTCTTGCCAACAGACTTTGAAAATTGGCGAAGATTACTCTCCAACAGTTTCCGGGTACATAACAGCCAAAATATATGCCAAGGAACATGGAACCAGTGAATATGTACTCAAAATTATCGGTAATTTATTTATATATTTATTCAAATTAAATCTTTAATTATATCAAGATTAATTATTTTTCTTTACGTTAATTTAGATGGACACGATCAAATTAAAGCTCCAGAAGGAAAATTTGCCTTGCCATCTGATCATGACGAAAATGATATTAAATTTAATCAATTCAATGACGAATTGGTTAATTTGAACTCTTCCCATTTGGTAGAACCACGACTTATTTATCGACCAAGTTAAATTTATTTTGTATCAATATATTTTTGGTAATATTTTTTATGCTAACAATTAAGAGTGTAATGATTTATAATTATAAAAAAGAATAGTTATAATCAAAGAGCGATTTACTGTTGAATGTTTTACTACTAAGGAATATTTTTTTTTTTTTTTTTTTTTTATTTTTTTTTTTTTTAAAAACTGGACAGTGTTAAATCCATTAAAAAAAATTTATTTTTCTAATCTCTTTATCTATTGATCAAACTTGTGAATAAATAGTCTAATTACCAACAACTAACTTAAGAAGTATATTTACAGAATTTTTAATAATATTTTTTATAATAATTAATTTGTTAAAAAAATTCAAAGAAAATTTTCAGAGGTCTGCAAATTATAAATTTAATATGATAAATATGTACTTTATACAGAGATAAAATCTCAATTATATTGTACCAACTTCCGGCAAGATCATTTACCGTAATTCTTCTTCATTGATAAGAGCTTGTAGATTCCTGTGATAAGCTCTATTCAATTCCACCAAAAAAAAAAAAGAGCTTTTAAATTTTTTTTTTATTATTTTATTACAAGGGTTAATCCTTTTTTTTAAAAAAATATTTTATAATTTTTCCAAAAATTTTAATTCATTTAATTAAATCTTTTTGCAATTAAAATTTTACTCTAATATTTAGTACAAGAGTATCATTTTTTAAAAAGAGAAAAAAAAAAGTAACCTTCACTCTTTTATGCTGGAAATTTCATAAAAGCGCCCACGCAAAATCTGTTAATTACCTTCCGTAAGTGTATCAATATATTACATTTTATCTTTTGACATATTATATTCTGGCATTTTCTATTCACATAAAAAATTTTTTCTTAGAAATTGAAGATAAATTTATGATACTAAATATAGGATCTATTTTAATAAATTCTAAAAAACCAATTAAATATTTTATTGTAATTATAAAAAAATTTTAAGCACAATTTACAGGAAATTAATCAATAGAGCGATAAAATTTATTATTCAATCTATATAGCTGCACACATTTAATCATTTTAATTATTTAAAGGTCTGTTAGTTTTAATCTAATGAGAGTAATTGTATCCCAGAGAAATTAATTCATAGATTACGCTTTCAGTGCATTGTCTATGTGCGTAAATGGATGTATCATCTGGATATAGTTAGTTAAATCACTGAACCATGTACCATATGTCGTAATATATATTTGGCTCTTAACAGAATTGAGGACCAGCAATACAACTGGATTAGTCAAAGAGAATGCAAATCATAGCTTATGAATAGATTATTGATTATAATTTTTGATTTATGAGTTAATCATTTTTTTATTTTATTCAATAAAATTTTTACGAAAAAATTATTAAAAAAATTTAATTTAAACTATTAATTAATGAATTATGAATTATGAATAAAATATTTTTATAATAATTTTCAATAGGGAACCTGAAAGAACGCGTGGAATTTATCAGAGAATCGGGTGTGAATTGAATGGTAATTTTATTGGATAATTTTATAAATGAGATTTTTTTTCATGAAAATTACTTGTCAATTTATTGGTGATCAATAACTAATAAGGAAAAATAAATATCAGAACAAATAATGTGTAGAAACATTATCATATTCATTTAAAGTGGTTATTATATCAGCCCTCTCATGTGTCAAGGGAAATTGAATATATACCGTAGATACAATTTCAAGCATATCATTAGCACTATCAGAATAATTATTATTCTAGAAAATTTTGATAATTAATGATTATTACACTTACAGATCAAATTTATTTCTTTTGAAAAATATGGACAAGAAATTGATTTTAAACATTTTTTTTTAGATGAAGAAATAAAAAATTTTCTCACTGTAATTTTTTTTATCAAAAAAAATATTTTTAAATTGATAAAAAAAAATTTTTGATTAAAATTTTAAAGCTTATTTAAAATTGTATTTTTTTAAAATCTAGAAAAATTTTTAAACAATAAAAATTACTGTAAGAAAATTTTTTATTTCTTCAGCTAAAAACATTGTTTAAAATGATCAAAAAAATAAATTTGTTCAAAGTTTTTAATAATAATAATTTCTTGTTAAAAAAATTTTAATTTTATTTTTTATTTTTTTCCTTGAAGTAGATAAAAAAAAAATTAAAAAAAAAATTAAAATAAGTTTCCAAATTGGTAAAAAAAATTGGTAAGAATAATATCTTCTTAATATGTATATTAAATATGTTGTATTTTATAAGATCCTTTATTTATTATGTAACTGATGTTGACGACATAAAAAAATGACAAAATTTTCCTGGGAAATCCTGGAGCTTGAAGCGTTGCCCAACACAATGGAGATTGATAGATCATTTATTCAACACTATATTTTTCTCTCTTTATTTCTCTTCATATGCTCTTGTTACCCAGATTTTTCGGGTTTTTTTTTTTTTTATATATGACGCATAATTTTACGGATCATTTCAAACAGACTTTTTTCACCGTCAGAATAAATAGATAATTTGAATAAATAAATAATAAACGCACGCTTTAACATGATATTACAACAAAATATTTACAAATCTATTTAAATAATAATTTTTATAAACAATAACTTTATTGTAATTGACAGAGTACAATTTTATAATCCATTCACGAGATTTATATTTTGTAAGGCTATTAAATATTTTAACTGTGAATGACAAGTCCTGATAAATTTCAAATAACCCATTTTACTCAGTTTGATAGCTCCTGTCCTGTCACGTCAAAAATTCATAAGTATTTTTTTTATTTATCAATCGATAAGCAGCTTACATTGACAATAAAATAATAAAAATTTATAGTAACCGATTAAATAAATTTACAGACTTATTTTTTTATTTTTTATTACCATAATCAATGTCCTTATCAGTGATATTTATTTGGCGAGCGGATCGTTAAAGAAAATCATTGATTTTTTGGGCAATTTATGGAATGTACACCTTATAACGTCAGCAGAGACGAGGCTCGAATATTTTATCTTGTATTTTAGTTTCTTTGTATTTCTTCTGCCTCTATTTTCGTTATTGCCGCACTCTTTTGTGTGGTAATAAAGAAAGTCGCAAATAAGAACAAAAATGTTCGGTATTCGACAATATGTTCGTAAATTTAACATCGATTCTTTTTTTATTTTATTGGTATGCTTTGAACTTTTCAATTCATATCGATTTTACGTCACTAACAAAACAAAGGAATCAAATTTGTGCATTTAAATTTTTTTATTAATGATTTATTATTTAATTATCGTTTTTGAAAATAAAAAATTAATTAATACATAAAATTGAGTGCATTTACAATTTAAATTCTTCAGTCGCTTTGTGCTTTATTGAGAAATTACGCTCTTTTCCATTTTACCTAATTGATTGTACATCTGAAGAAAATCAGTCGCTCTATATTACTTTTCTCTTACCTTTGACATCGCGTAATTTAAAGAAAATTTTTTTTTTTTTCTTATTTTTGTTCTGCAAAATTAAAAAAAATATCTGTATTAAAAAGTTGTAATTTAATTTAAAGAAAAAATAATTTTTTAAAGTAATAATATCATAAGTTTTGAGGAAGTAATAATTTCGTGTATGACGTTAAGAAGAAATCCATAAGTTGATTTGATTACTTATCTAATTTATTTTTGATGAAATGAGTCCCTTAAAATTTAATTTTTTAATAAAATAATCGGAATAATTTTTATAAAGTAAAAAAGTTTATAAGTCGATTAAGTTAATTATCTGAAAGCTTTTAAATTTATATAAAAAGGCAGAGATTAAAGTTAAGTTTGCTTTAATTTTAAGGAAAGGATTTATAGAAAGTTACAAAATAAATGGAATTTTTAAAAATTAATATGTTTTTTTTTAAATAACTTTAACAATAAATTTAAAATTTGAGATTCGTCTAGTTTTTTTTTGTCGAATCCCAAACTAAAAAAAAAAATTAATAATAATTCTGAAAAATTATAAATTCTGACATTTAAACGATACGGAAAAAAATATGGGAATTTTTTTTTTTTGTATAATAATCATAGAGATAATAAATAAATGAGAATTTTATTGAAATTTAAATCTGGAAGTTTTTTTTGTGTTGCAGCTACTTGTAGCGCATTTTAGAATGTTGAAATTAATGTTACTTTATTTTATCAAACTCATCGGAATAAATCCGACGGATCACCAATCGATTGACCATTATACTATGCAATATATATTAGACTTATTGTCAGTCCATGGAATGTTTTTTTTTACACCGTAAATAAGAAGCCCGAGCATCGAAATATCGGGCAATCGAGCTTTCCCTGAGGTTGAAGGATAAAAAAATAAAAAAATTTTCGTTCCATTGGAAAAAATTTACGACTTTCAGGACATCAGAGTTTCAGATATATGAAAAACAAGATGACAAAAGCCAATATTTATTTCTGTACCTTAAAATTACAATATTTTTTTATCTTTACTCAAACTTGAAACAATTTTTAGTATAAAAATAAATGAACAAAGTTTTTATTGCGTATTTTAAAGAAAACTTGATAATTATTGTTGGAAACAATTATAAGTCGATAATTATTTTCTTGTTAATAAATAAAATCGAGAAAGGTTGAGAGTATTTTTATAGATCTTTTCTAAAAGTGTACTGATTAGTTAATAGTTTCAAAAGTTTAACAATCTAAATTGGTAGCTTTAAAAAAATCATACGGTCGATTGGATTCTTCGAAAGCATGAAGTAAAACCTGAAAGCCGATACTAATTATTTAGCAGTTTTTTAAGATGATTGATACATTCTATTTATGTTCAACTTTCAATCAATTACAAGCTCCGAAAATAGGAGTTAGAAAAAAATTTATAACTTTTTGAATTTAATTAAATTAGCTCGAGGGAGTTTATTTTTAAATTTTAATACATATGAACGAGCAAAGCCTGATTAATTATAGAATTATAATTTAATTACTCAAAAAAAATATTTAAGTGTAATTTGAAGTATAATAAAATAAAAAGAAAATTATATATTGATAACGTCAT